CAGTGGTGTGACTAAACAGCATGTATCAAAGACCTAGGAAAGAGGCAATCTGTTTTTAGCTCTGACTTTAAGCAGGAAGTGATTTTCCTGATAAAACAGGTGAAAAAAACTATAGCTCCCCAGTCAGCATACTCTTACAAGAATCTTGGGCTAAGTAGACAAAACTCAGTGAGGATTAAGGACTCCAAATGCACCGGGTGGTAAGAACAACTAACTTTTATTAAGTGCTAATTATAACTAAACACTCTTTCTAAACACTTTCCCTGTATTTTTTTTTTGTAACTGTTAAAACAGGCTTGAATTTTTTTTTAATTTTTAATTTTTGTAGGTATATAGTAGATGTATATATTTATGGGGAAAACAGACTTCTTATACCCATTTAACATGTGAATAAAACAAGATTGAGAGGTTAAGTCGCTTGCCCAAGGTCAATAGCTACTGAGCCAGAATTCAAATCTAACTAACTAATCAGGCTAATACTAAAATCAACACTTTAAATCTTCTCCCTACACTGCCTTTTGCATGGATAAAGTCAGCAACCTCCTTCTGCAGGGGATACCGACACAAAGCAAGATCTGCATTAAAGTGTACTTAAAGCAATGAAGTTCTGGTTTAGAAATAGGTAGATCAATGGGACAAAATAACATGTAAATAAATATACTTGAAAAAATATATATATGAATTTATATAATTTAATGTGGTATTTCAACTTGTTTGAGCAGGCGGATAAGCTAGATACGAGAAGGAGGGGGAGTGCCCTGGGAAAAGGGAGGTTTGGAAAAATCTCATAACCCAGAGACCACCCAAAACATGCATCCTAACTATAAGCAGAGAGGAAGGGAAATACCTATGCAGAAAGAGATGCCCCTTAAGACTCCCAGTAATCACTCACTCTGCAATTAACCTGTCAGAATGTAGCTAGCTACATGCTGTTAAGGGGGGAAATAGGGAAAAAGGAGAAATTCCTAAGAGATACACAGGTGGAATAAGTACAGATTTAACTACTTTCCAACCTTCCTCAGGTGGTGATAATGAGTAATGCAGGCATTATATAGAATTTGTATCCAACACTGGCCTGCACATACATGTGAACTAACAGTAAGGGGGAATCCCACAAATCTGGAGTGGAAACTAGGTGGGGGAAAAAGTGGGAACATAAGGCAGAAGTGGGAACTAGACAAAGACAAAGGTGGAGACTTGAGGCAGAAGCAGAAGCTTGAAGAAACAGTCTGCCATAATAACCACAATGCAGAACTCTTGGGGCTGCTGCTGGCTCATTCCCCTTTAAATAGCCTGCTCTGCCTCATCTTTCAGCATGCACTATCTCTGCTACTACCTAACCCTTGCTGCTGCTACTCCTGTTTCTCCAGCTGGACCAGCCTGCTCCTCTCTTGGAGTGTCCTTCTCTCAATAAACTCTATACTCTTTATTTTCTTTCAATAGATCTTTTGCTTACAGTACTAATTGGTCTCTTGGCTGAATTCTTTCTCCCAAGTAAGACATGAACTGAGGATTCCTGTACTTCCCGGTAACAAAATCATTAGGAAAAGGAGCCAGTATTAAATAAATATATAGAAATCAGTGACTGTTTGGGAGAAAAAAAATAAAGGTAAAGCCCTATCTTTTTTTTTAAGTGTACTTCCAGTGAGCTCTGAGTGTTTTAGAGACTCTGCCCCATTTGTGGGGATTATTAGTCTTTCAGGGAATTTATCTGGAGAATATTTACTTTCAGAGGATGAACCACGGATGGAAGTATTTTTATGAAAAAATGCTTTGGGGATAGGATTTTTAAAAGACAGAAGAGAACAGTGTGGTGCTGTTTCTTGAGTCTCATGAACAACACAGCAAGACGTGTATTCCCATTAACTCTCTAGGCCATGAACTACTTGTGCTCCCTTTTTAAGGAAGGAAAAGATTCCAGGGTGGTTTTGTCACTGAGTGCTGTGGAATGGATTATTTCCCTCCACTCTTGTTGCTAACTGGAAAAAAAAAAAAAGAAAAAGACACTGCAATAAGGTTATGGGACTGAAAGAGCTACATTTAGACACAGCTGTTTTGGGGTCAAGGTCAAGGAGGATAATAATGGAAGAGAATAAGCAAAAATGAAACCACACAAGGAGAAGAGGAACCTGGGCACACCTGAGTGGGGAATCTTTCCTTAGCCACAATGGAAAAGGGCAAAGGGCTAGCCCAGGATCTCAGAAAGAAAGGATAGGAATGATAGAAGGATAACATGGCATTTGGTTCTGTTTCTCTTGGCTTTCTCTCTTTCTCAGTTCTGTTATTACTATTTTATTTTTTTAAAAATTTGTTGGATCATTTATATTCTCATAAAGTAGCTCAAATCTTTTATGGGACTAAGCAAGTTATAAATACATACTTTTAACAGAAATATTTAGAAAAATATTACACTTACACATATTCATATATAATATGTATAAATACATACATTTAAAAATATATATTTATTCAGAAGTTGATGTATATTATAATATATGTATATCTCATTCCTGAGTTTGGGTTTAGTGGCTCTCAAAAAATCACTTTTTGTCTTTATAAAGTCCTCAGGGTAAGAAATCCTTCCAGATACTCTTGTATATGGATTCCCAGGCCAGGGAGTGGGGTGGATGCCACCTGATCACTAGTGTCAAGAATTTCATACTCGGTGGGGTGGAAGTTGGCTGAGAGTGGAAGCGGCGAGAGCGAGATGGCAATACCATAATTCTGACTGGGAATGCCACTTTCGACACTGGCACAAAATAAAGCATGTGGAACATACAAGTCAACACCTGTAAGTCAACTTCTTGAAAGTTTAAGATTGTGGCAAGGTTAAGAGTTGGGCTGAGATTTGTCAGAGTCGGTAATAATTTTTGTGTCTAAGGATGGAGGGATCTAGGTTATATAAACAAGAGGTGTTCACTATGAACTGAAATAAGCAATTCATGGGTAAGGAGACTGTGGCCAGAAATTCTAGGGTACATGAGTGTCTTCTAGGTAATGGTAACTGTGGTTCATTGGGGTAGGGGTAGTGCCAGTAAGAGTGGTATCTTTTACTGAATCTTCCCATCTGGGGGTAAATGGCTATTCATGCTGGAACCCAGTTATTCTAGCTCCTTCTCAAGAGGATGATGATGTGCCAGAGGTAGGTGAGGAGTGAGAATATGGGCATATGTAGGATGTTTTCTCTTTGTGTGTTAATTATACTGTGACATAATGAAGTAGGATTTAGATGGGACTAGTGTATGGTGTGTCCTTCTTTTTATAGCTGCAGGTACTGAAAAACAATGGGTGAAACAACACTGTGGAGATGAGAATTTGATGATGGTGAAGGAGGTATAACTCAACATTTGCTGTTCTAAATTCCTGTCCTTTGCTATTTCCCCCCAGTCCATAGTGATTTCTCAGTAATAAATATACTACTGCAAATAATAATAGTATTATTGCTATGATTTTGTTGAATGCTTATTAACATCTTCACATGCTTCATCTCATTTAATTCTCACAATTGAGGTGAGTGACAGATCCAGGATTTGAAAATAGTTCTGCACACAACCCTTAATGCTCTACTAATGATTCTCATCGGTTGGTTGCATATTTACAGTTCACTCATTTATTGATTCACCCTATACTGTTTTTAGTCCTTACTATAAAAAGATATTACATATTAAACAAAGCAGGGCTGTCTCAGAAGAACAAAAAGCATCCCTTACCAAGGTAACGGATTCTTTCCTTCCTCCTTCTTTCCCTCCCACCCTCCGTTAAAAAATTATTCAATAAATCCCACCTTTGTGCTAAGCACCCTGCTAGGCATTGCAAATAAAAATCCCCGTGCTTCTAGAATTCATGATTTAGCCATAAAATTAAAAGCATATAGAGAGTAACTATAATTTTACATCTTTTACATCTCAAATCAGAGCAGTGCAGGTAACATCAGTTTGCCTACTTCTTATATCTGGCTTGACAAATAGAATACTTTGAAGATTTCATGTGTATTATATCATACTCTTCTATATACTTTCATCTTGGCACTGACATTTTATCTTGACTACTTAGTAAGTATTTCATAGATGTAAAGAAAATATTTGGCAAAATCTACAGAGCAGGCCAGGTGTGGTGGCTCATGCCTGTAATCCCAGCACTTTGGGTGGTCAAGGCGGGCAGATCACCTGAGGTCAGGAGGTCGAGACCAGCCTGGACAACATAGTAAAACCCCATCTCTGCTAAAAATACAAAAATCAGCTGGGCATGGTGGTGCATGCCTGTAATCCCAGCTGCTCGGGAGGCTGAGGCAGGAGAATTGCTTGAACCCAGGATATGGAGGTTGCAGTGAGCTGAGATGGCACCACCATACTCCAGCCTGGGCAACAGAGTGAGACTCAAAAAAAAAAAAAGTCTATAGAGCAGAAGCTAGATTAAAAATAAGTCTTAAGTCAAAACAAGCATCTGAGATTCAGGGGGAGATTACAACTGCTCTTTTGGAAGTTAGTGTCTGAGAGGACATGTGCGCAGACAAGAGAACAGGTCGAGGTTCTTGATGGGACATGTGTTGGGGGAGGGAGGAAGAAAGGGAATCAGATAATGACAGGAGTAGTTTTCCCCATCTAGGTCATATATCCTCATAGTGAAGTTTTCTCCTATGATAAGAAAAGTTGTGACTTTATAGATTATCTATATATATTCAAATCTAAGTTTAAAATAAATTTGAAATCCTGCCAAATTATCTTTGGATTGTCACTATTTAATAAATGTAATTTTAAAAATCTACATGTAAACATAGTACTTATATGAATGAGCTTCAGGGCATCTATGAACCCCTGAAATTATACGCAACATTGTGTTTCTCCGGGCTTCATGAGATTTAAACCCACAACCTAAAATGATTAAGGCCCAATGAATAGATAATTAAAATTTGAGAGATTAAACCCCATAACCAGGGAAATTTTTTCTCTCATAAAATTAGAGCTGACAGCATACAAACCTGACATAAATACTGTACTTACATCAAGAGCCACAGACTGCTTGGCCCAGGACTTCTTCACTTGATCATACATAATTGTGTTGTTGATGCCAAGTCCACAAAAGATGACAAAAGCCTAGGAAAGAGCGAACCTGCTAATTAAACATTGCAGCAACTCATTGGCAAAATCTCCTATGAAAGCAGGCAGTCACCAGGGATGGGTCTGAAAATACAATCTTACTGTACACAGAGGTAGGCCTTGGGAAAATAGGCACATTAAAATTCTTAATTACTATTGTTATATGACAACTTTATAGCTCACACCGCACATGAGGAAAAATTATGAATTTAATGTTATTGTAGAGAAACTACTTCATATGTTTAAAAACATACAGTCTGTTTAAATGGGTTCTTAATTTATTTAGGTTGTGGACTGATTTTAGTTAATCTATTCTATTTAACCAAAGCAACCTCTTTTAGTCGCTAGGCTATAAAATACTTTGGTAAAGAAACCAAGTTAATGTAACCATAAGGTAAGTGTTAAGGGGAAGGAGGATTGAGTTAGAACCATTAATAAAGAAGCTATGAGGTATTCTTGACTAAAGAAAGATAATCATGGGTCTTCATGTTGGCTACTGGTACAGTCTATGAGGAAGCCCATTCAAGGCTAACTTCTCCAGCTAGAGCGCCTGGAGTGAATTAATGGAAGCACGTAAACAAGAGAAATGTGAGGACAGTACACCTGGCAGAGCTGGCTCAGGGTTTCATGACTCTGAATACACACAAGCAAGACAAAAATAAGAAAATAACACTTTGGGGGAAAGAGAGGGTAATTCTGTAACAAAATTAGGATAAAAATAATGGATGGTTACAAAATAATCCAGTTCGTAAACCATAGGATCAAATCTCACTTAAGCATTTACATATTCCTTAAATCTTCCTGTAAATTTTGCCCTCCATTTAAGTATAATAATAATTGATTAATAATTGTTTGTCATTTCGAATTTGGGCAGGCTGCAACCAGGGGACTACTGATGACTCCATATAAACCTAGGTTTATTAACTTATTTTCTTACCTCAAAAAGTCGTTGATCCGCATCATCAAAAGGTTTCCCATCAAGTCTATTTAACACTTGAGCCACTCCTGTGGGGAAAGAGTGGATTATGTGGTCATTTTTAGTACTGGACATTGCGTTTCTCTAATACAGTAGCCACAGCTATGCCTTCTTTAGAGAACTGCACTCACTTTAAACTCTGGTCTCTCAAGTGCCTGCTGATTTCATGAGAATAAATCTGAGATGTAGGACAATGCAGTCTCTCTTTAAGGCCGATTTATTTAGATTAGATCTCAGTAAAGTTTGGAGTTCTACCAAGGCTTTAATCTGATTTTAGATGACTAGTTACAGTAACTCTAATATATCCCCCATATATTATATGTATGTGTGTGTGTGTATATATATATCCTTTAATAAGCAGCAGTGTCTTAGACTTTAACAGGCAATTTTAGGGGGAAGCAGAGAGAGGCAAATAGATGCATCAGTTACCAAACGAATTAGTGTTCGTATATATATATACACACACACACACGATTATATATACAACTGAGTATATATGTAGCTGAATATGTGTAAGTATTCAGTTATATATATATATATTTCAACTGAATATATATATAATTATCTGAAGCACAATACTTGAAAGAGGCAGTATGACATTATGATTAAGAGCATAAGATTTGGACTTAGACGGTCTGAGTTCAAATTTCAACTCCACCATCAGGTGTGTGACCTTGGGCACATTACCTAAATTTTTTAGCAGTCAATTTCCTCATCTGTAAAATGGGGATTAAAATGTTAACTAAGAGGGTTATGAAGATTAAATGAGATGTTAGAATGTTCATTTAGCGCATTGCTTCACTCAGAATAAACATTCAAGAAATGTTAGGAATTACTACAAGCAATAAAAGTTGATATAATACAGTTGACCTTCAAAGCAAAGTCAGTTCTGTTTCCTGCTACCAGGGGGTACGTATAGTTCTAAAAAACTTAATTTATGAGTGATTACTTTTTCCAAAGTTCACTTCTAGTATTATACCAGATGTTTCAGGGCATGACTTTCAAAATACACAAGTTTAACAAGAAAAATCAACTATCTTGAAAACCATTAGCCTGTGTCCCCATTTAGTACACACACAAAAAAAACTAGCTGTAATTCTCAAGTATGCTTGTATTTTTAAAAACACCCAACTTCCCACCAGGGAGGTAAGTCATCCTATGCAAGAAGATATATATATAAATAATGAAACACAAAACTATTAGCATGTAACCAGGCAAACTATGGTCCTAATTTTGAAGTAATAATGGATGTTTACTTTTAGGATTGAAATGTAGACTATGAGATTACAGGTAACACATGGTGTTTCCTATGGACTTTCCCTTTAAACATAAATTTATTTAAAACTTGGTGCATGATGTAGTTTAAGTCTTTGTACTAGAGGCTTAGATCCCAAGTCTTAGAATATTCTTTATATTCAGTAACATACCAATATTCTTATGCAGATTAAGCTAATGAAAAAAAATTATCTCAGAATTCAGATCTTAAAAACACTCACAGAATACTAAATCCTTTAATAAGCAGCAGTGTCTTAGACTTTAACAGGCAATTTTAGGGGGAAGCAGAGAGAGGCAAATAGATGCATCAGTTACCAAATGAATTAGTGTTCTTACGTCTCTTAGGGAAAAAGGTCACATTTTTATTGTGTTTCAGTAATTTCAACTAATTCCTCCATCCTTCATGACTTCTCTATTTCAACCATGAATTCTCCTTGCCTGGGCTTCTTTCTTGAATTTGATGCTTTCCTAATTGAGTTTTTTGAGGAGAAGGAAAGGGGAATGGAGGAAGAGAAAAATTGGAAGCTGTTTTTGCCCATGATTCCCTTACTGTGAGGAAAATGTGGCCTATTTCAGAACTGCCCAGGCAGAAAATGCATGCTCAGTATTATGTCCAATAGAGAATGTTCTTTCTTCCTTTTCCTTTACACCATGTATAAAAGCACAGATGTAAACACATTGACATAGTAAGAAAGTCTGTACTAGGAGTTAGGAAACCTGAGTTTTATTCCTGACCTTGCTACTAACTTTGTGGCTTTCTTGAAGTCATTTGTCTCTCTCTCGCTCTCTGGCTTTTTTCCCCTCTCTCTCTGCCTCTATTTCCACAGGGTGAGATAAAAGAGTTCTATTGGTTGATAACTCAGATTCTCTCCAACTTTAAAATTTATTGGTTCTTTCAACTTAATAAATATTTGTTCAAGTTGTGGAGAGTGTTGATTCATTAGCAGTCTGCGCTTATGAAATTATACAAGAGTGTGAGACATAGTTTGATGAGTCCTGGCCATAAAAGAGGGAACACATAAAAAGGATATGGGAGTATTTTATTTTTATTTTTTAATTTTTAATTTTCCTGTAATTAATCTACATTGTTTGTATAGCAAAAATTTACGCTCATTACTGTGTTGGTATTCTATTGAATGACTATATACTTCAATCTATCCATTCTACTATTATGGACATACGGGTTGTTTGCAGTTTTTTGTTATTACAAACAAAAGTACTGATGGGAACTTTCATTAGACTTTGTATTAGTTTGGTGCAAAAGTAATTGCAGTTTTTGCCATTACTTTTTTTTTTTTTTTTGCTCTAGGTGATCTTTATTTTTTCGTTTTTTATTTTTATTATTATACTTAAGTTCTAGGGTACATGTGCACAACGTGCAGGTTTGTTACATATGCATACATGTGCCATGTTGGTGTGCTGCACCCATTAACTCGTAATTTACATTAGGTATATCTCCTAACGCTATCCCGCCCCCTCCTCCGTCCCCACAATAGGCCCTGGTGTGTGATGTTCCCCTTCTTGTGTCCAAGTGATCTCATTGCTCAGTTCCCACTTATAAGTGAGAACATGCGGTGTTTGGTTTTCTGTTCTTGTGATAGTTTGCTGAGAATGATGGTTTCCAGCTGCATCCATGTCCCTACAAAGGACAGAACTCATCCTTTTCTAAGGCTGCATAGTATTCCATGGTGTATATGTGCCACATTTTCTTAATCCAGTCTGTCACTGATGGACATTTGGGTTGATTCCAAGTCTTTGCTATTGTGAATAGTGCCACAATAAACATACGTATGCATGTGTCTTTATAGCAGCATGATTTATAATCCTTTGGGTATATACCCAGTAATGGGATGGCTGGGTCATATGGTACTTCTAGTTCTAGATCCTTGAGGAATTGCCACAGTCTTCCACAATGGTTGAACTAGTTTACAATCCCACCAACAGTGTAAAAGTGTTCCTATTTCTCCACATCCTCTCCAGCATCTGTTGTTTCCTAATTTTTTAATGATTGTCATTCTAACTGGTGTGAGATGGTATCTCATTATGGTTTTGATTTGTATTTCTCTGATGGCGAGAGATGATGAGCATTTTTTCATGTGTCTGTTGGCTGTATGAATGTCTGCTTTTGAGAAGCGTCTGTTCATATCTTTTGTCCACTTTTTGATGGGGTTGTTTGTTTTTTTCTTGTAAATTTGTTTGAGTTCTTTGTAGGTTCTGGATATTAGCCCTTTGTCAGATGAGTAGATTGCCAAAATTTTCTCCCATTCTGTAGGTTGCCTGTTCACTCTGATGGTAGTTTCTTTTGCTGTGCAGAAGCTCTTTAGTTTAATTAGATCGATGTGGGAGTATTTTAAAGCAAATTTCTGTTTCTTTATTCAAGCAGTTTAACTATTTAGGTCATCTCTTACCAATTATTTGGTGGTTGCTATTCCAAATAGGGACACAGAGAACAGATCTTATGTGAAAACCAGATATCTGGTCCGCCTAGGAAACAAGAAAGAAGTTAATTAAAATTGAATATTAACTATTCATTTTTGATGTACATTTTTTTCCATTCTTCATAACAGATATTCAAAAATAACTTTTTAAAAGTTATTTTATACACTGTAACCTAATTTTGTAATGCATAAACTCACTCACCTGCCTCCTTAATCACAATGAACATCCTAAAGAAATCAAACCCAAGCCACATATGAATCAACCAAAAAAATCCCAAACCAACATGACCTCCTCCAATCCCTGCAGCCATAGAAAGCTGGACATAAAACTATCTTGATCATGACCACACCACCAGACAAGAATTCCAGCAACTGTTTCTCCTCTGGGTATTCAAAGCATTTCAATTAAACCAGTGATCAATTTTTATCTTTGACTGGGTACACTTGTTAGTAAAAAATATTTGTGCCTATAATGCTGTCATATTTACATTTACTTTTAATACTGTATATTTTTACTATTACTAAATAATTATGTATGTTGTCAAATCTATATACAAAAAGGTAAGATAGATGTAGAGGTTTGAAGATTTTCCTTCTGTACCCCAAAAGATGTCAGGAGGTGACATTTAAAATACAGAGGTACAATTATCAACATCAAACATTGAGTAACAAACTCCATTTAATATTAAAAACAATGGTCCATATTTGAATGGCTAGAGTGAAACCACTAAGAGTGAAAGGGTCTTAGTGAATTAACATGATCGTGATTCTCAGTGAGGAAGGTCAATCTAGTGTTCTGATACAATAGGAGAAAACAATAAGATATGAAGGTTTTGGATCATGGATATTGAGATAAAAATATATTTTAAAATATTATTTGTTGAAGGCAAGAGCCACATATTTTAAACACTTGAAACTAAAAGTTAATTTACACAGCTAAATTTTATATTTGGATTTTTTCTTTTTGACATTTCTCTTTGAGAAGTTAATTTTCCAGATATCTTCTATTCGTTGTACCAATATGTTAGTTTCTCTTTTTCAATGTCTTTTGAAGATTAACATGCATGTAGAAAGGCCCCAAAATTTAAGTATGCAGCTTAATGGATTTTTACAAAATGAACAGATCTATGCAATTACCACCAAGATCAACACATAGAATATTATCACCACCCCAGAAGCCACCTCCATGCCCCTAAATTCTTGTACATACTTAGTGCACATATGCATTTCTGATAGGCATATACTTACAATAAAATTGCTGAGTTATTCACAAGTTCAGCTTCAAAATATATATTTTTAAAGTTTTGCAAAGTACTTGTACCAATTTACTTTCTAACCAGAAGTGTATGAGAGTTCCAGTTGATTTACATCATCACCAACATTTGATGTTGTCAGGCTTTAAAAAAAAATTTTGACAATTCTGATAGATATGTGGTTGTATCTCCTTGTGAAAGTAATTTGATTATCTCTGATGACTAGGGTGACCATAAATCCTGGTTTAAGTCTGTTTTCCTGACATAATTATTTAATAATATGCCTTTCATTCTCAAAAGTGTCCAAATTTGGGCAATAAATTTATAATTTTCCTACTTATGATTAATGAAGTTGAGCAACTTTTCATATATTTATCGTCTATTTCTACTCTCTTCCATGAAGCGCCTGTTCAGAACTTTGGACTTTTTCTTGTTGGGTTGTCTGATTTTTAAAAATTGGCTTGTAAAAGTTTCTTCTATATTCTGGATAAGAGCCCTCTGCAAGATATATGTATTACAAATATTTTTCTTATTCTATGGCTTGTTTTTCCACTCTTTTAATGGTGTCTTTTTATTAAGAGGTCCCTAATACGATATAGTCAAATATTTCAATTGTTAAATTTATGGTTAGTACTTTTTTGGTTTTATTCAAGAAATCTTTCCGTACTCCAACCTCATGAAGATATTCTTCTATGCTTTTCCTAGAATCTTTATTGTTTTAACTTTCACATTTAAATTTATAATCCAACTGAAAATGATTTTCATGTATAATATGAGCTAGGAGTCAAAATTTCTTTTTTTTTTTTGAAATGGATATTCAATTGCTCCAGCACTGTTTTGAGGGAAAAAGCAATACCTCTTCCCAGCACTCTACTGTGCCATCGCTTTCATTAATCAACTGTCCATATATATTTGGATCTGTTTCTGAACTCTCTGTTCTATTCCATTGATCTAGGTATCTGCCGTTATGCCAGTACCATACTGTCTTACATAACACGGTTGTGTAATAAGGCTCAGTATCTGGTAGTGCAAATCCTCCAACTTTGTACTTCTTCAAGATTGTCTTGACTATTTTTGACCTCTGGCATTTACATGAAAATTTTAGAATCAATTTGCAGTTTATACACATACGTATACATTCCTGGGATTTTTATTGGTATTTTTTGAATCTAACAATTTGGGGGAGAATTGACACATATACAAAACTGAGTCTTTCAATCCATAAATATCTCTTAATTTTTTTAAGGCTCTTAAAATTTCTCTTAGCAAAGTTTGGTATTTTCCCATGTAGTGTTCTTACACATAATTTGTTATATTTGTATCTTGACGTTTAAAAACTTCATGTTATTGTAAATGACATCAGTATTTTGTTTTCTAATGCTTGTAATTGGTACATAAAAATATAATTGACTTTTTAATATTAAATTTGTTTCCATCAATCTTGCTACATTCAATTATTAACTTTAATATCTTACCTGTAAAGTGTTTTGGATTTTCTTGCCACATGATCACGTCATCTTATCCCTTAATTCTTATACCTTTTAGTCATGTAATTTTAGATGATGTGATTTTTCCTTTTTTAGTTTGTTAACAGAGTGAATTACATCGATTGATATTTGAGAATTCCAGACACAGAAACAAAAACATAAGCATAAATCATTCGTCCAGTGTACTCTTCCAAAAAATATTTATTTACCACCTCCTATGCACCAGACACATTGCTTAGTGTTGAGGATAGAAAAATGAATTCAAATAGTCATTACCCTTGAGCTACTCACAGTCTAGGAAAGATAGAAATATTGAGATAAAATAAGTGTCCAAGTAGAGGATGTTCAAACACTATTGGAAAGACAACGAACTCTGTTTAGAGAAATCAGGAGCAGCTTGAGATCCTTTACAGTGAGTCTTCAAAGACAACAATGATGATGATAAGCTCACATTTGTTGGATGCTCACTCTGTGTCTGGCACTCCGCTCAGCACTTTCTTATGCATTATTTTATACTTTTTACAACCACCCCATGAAGTAGGTACTGTTATCATCCTCTCTTATCAGATGAGACTTACAGAGATTAACTGCCTTGAATGAGAGAGACTGGCTCAAAGGAGCACAGCCAAAGGCAAACACATCCATCAAAGTTATCTTCCAAAAAAACAAACTGATTTTCTTCCTCTCCCTAAGGATAAAATCTGAATTAAGGCAATACCAGTAAGCATGAAGAGAAGAAAGCCAATTTTAGAGAGGTATAATCTATAGACTCAGGCTAGCCATAGCAGCACTAGGATGGCTGGGTCTGCTTTGTTTTGCTGAGGGAGGGTCACATATTGTACGGACCACTGGGTCTCAGGCAGCACCAAGTAGTAAACACAATTGTCTCTGCCAACTCTGGGACAACAGTAGCCCCTGTCTAACCTCTCCTACGAAATCCGGGCAGCTGAGGGACAGGTCACAATGGGCAAGAAGAAAAGGAACATGCAGTAAGAAAGACAATTTAGAAGCTGGTGGTGAGAAAAACAAACCTTAGGCTGTTCGCCAGTTAAATAAAAGAGAATTTTGTTTACCCATCACTTTTAAAGCACTACAATTCCCCCAAAGAGTTTTTCTTTATTCTGGGAAAGTGGGAGTATGCACTCTCCCATACCCATGGAGGATAGATAACATTGAGGTTTCTGGCTTGAGTAAATGTGGAAGAGTTCCTTGAAGTGTGGAACACAGGAAATTTGAGGGAAATGATACGAACTCCAAATGGACACACGTTACAAGTGGGAGGGGCTGGAGATACTAATCTTGGAGTCATCAGTCCTCTGTGTTAATTGCATGGGTAAGATTTAAGTTAATTGCATGGTTATTGCAAGAGAGAACTTGTCCAACAAAAAGACTAAAAATTGAACATTGGGGAACACAATATTTGGTGCTAGAAGAAAAAGTTGACATCAGTGACAGGGATGGACAAGAACTCCAAAGCTCATGCTCTTAACCTGAAGGCTTTACTGCATCTATAATGTGTGAACAGATTTTTACAACCTTTCTGGAAATAGGTTTATTGATGTGTATCTAGAGCCTAAAAAGTATAAATACCTACTCTCTGACCTGTCAATTTCATATCTAGGAATTTATCCTGTGATAATTATCAAAGCTATGCACATAGATTTACATGTAAAAGTGTGAACCATGGCATTATTTATCTTAGTGATTTATTAGAATAACACGAATATTCAACTGGAGGGAGGTGGTTAAGTAAATAATAGTACATTCATACAACACAATATTATGCATCTAATTAAAATCATGCTATACAAGAACAGTTACTCATATGGAAAATATTTAATACATTAAATGATAATGGTGTACATGCCTGTGGTTATACAAAAGCATATTATATACATTGAAGGATCCTGGAAAAATTATGACCATGATAGTTTCCTTTGAATTTCTTGGCTATGAGAATTTAAAAATTATTGTTCCTAGTTTGTAAATTTTAGATAATAAACACAGGTAATTTGTCCATAAGGGAAGAAGTTATTTTCTAAGTAGAACTTAGGGGAAGCAACAGTGTCCAATGCTATAGAAAAGTCTAATAAGATAAGGACTGAAAATGGCTTACTGAATTTAGCAACATAGTGGGATAATTGAAGGCAAAAATGGTCAAGGGAAGAAAGGATGTGATCAGGAATAAAATTCAAGTGGTTAGTCCTGGAAGAGAGGAAGGTCACACTGAGAAAGCAGAGCTGCGTCTATTCAGAGCTTGAGTCTTGTATGGGCTGAGCACAGGAGAAGAGGTGAAGCATCAGAGA